GTAGAATGATTTAAAATGTTTAAATTGTAGGTTAGAAGACAGATCAGGCACCATTGTGACCTCTAGTGATCTAAACAGATGACACCAATTGGCAAGCTAAGCAATAGTGTAGAGACCACCTCGAATACCTATTCCTGATAGTAAACTTGATGTCTATAACCATCCTGGAGCCTTCATCCAGTGACTGATGGAAGCAGAGGCAAACACCCACAGTTAAATACTGAACAGAACCCAAGGAACCCAGCGACAGAGAGAGAGGAGAGAAGAGCAAATTGGCAAAGAATGGGCTGGCAAAACCAGCAGAGACAGCTGATCCGACAGCTGGGAGGCCAGCATGGGACCGATCCAGACCCCCCCTGAATGTGAGAGTCAATGAGGAGGCCTGGGCTACCTATGGGGTCCTGAGCAGTGTATCAGTGTTTATCCCTCGAATACTAACAGACATCGTGTGTCCATAACACAAAGAGGGTTGCTCTCTGCCTGGACTCAGGAAAGTGCCTGGACCCTACCCTGAATGAAATGATAGACTCTAGATATCCCCTATGCAGAAGGAATTGGCAATAGGGTTGGAGGACGGGGGGGGAGGGGTAGGGGGTGCGGGAGGAGAGGAGGGAGAGGGAAGTGGGATTGACATGTAAAACAAGCTATTTAAAATTAAAATAAAAAATGTTTAAATTGTAACACACTAAGTGTTTTTTACATAGATGTTATCAATAGGGAGGAACAAAATCAGCCCTACTACAAACATACAGAAACAAGGCAGAGAGAAGGTAAGTAAGATAGCCAATGATCTTCTTCAACCGAGATTTGAACTCAGGTCATCTGGTGCTGGAAATGACCACAAATGAGACAGAAAAGTTTTCCCATGCCTCCTTATGGGTGCCTTTCTAACATCTAACTCCTGGGAGCCTGGTCCTTGATATTATTTTAATGCCTTCAGGCCCATTAGGAGAAATCAGTCACTAGTAATGAGCCCTGTAATGTTGTCACCTGTTCAGTTTAAACGGCTCCTTTAGATATGAAAAGGCTCAGTCCAGTAGCATCTGTTTGAGATCAGATTCCCCAGCCTCCCCAGGGAAGAGCAAGGTCACTTCAGTCTGTGATCACAGGCTCCAGATATATCACAGTTCTTTGGCAGGCTGGCCTCATTGGCCTAGCATGCCCTCACAAGGTTGTTTCTGTATCTCTAGCCACCTTTGATTTTTATTTATGTTTTAAGTCTCTCTTCTGTAAGCCTCTGGACATTACCAAAGATGCAAGCAGTCTCTCAATGCAACCCATTTATTCTAGGGACACAAGACACAAACACTCCTCTCTTTTCAGGCTAGTTTCCAAAGTTTACCTTTTCTGGCTCAGCATTCATGGTTTTTTTTTTCTCTCTCTCTCTCTCTCTCTTGCATGAAAATCCCTTTTCAGCAAGGAAAATTGCAGTTGCTTTTTGCAGCTATTGCATCCATCCCAGCTGGAGAAAACTCCAAGTTCAGATGCCACATGTGTTTCCTGTTCCCTGGGGTGGCTGTTGCAGGGATGTCATGGTTGGAGTGTGGCTGGTGAGTGGAACTGCTCCAGCAAATTGCTAAGCTGGAAGGATGTGAATTCTTAGCCACAAGTCCAGCTGTAGTTGTTCATAGAGCACACTGGCCCATGAGGGATGCTCAGATATAGCCTTTTGATAAGGCTGGGAGGACTTTTGTCTTGTTTTTGAGATAGGGCCACAGTCAGGCTAACCTTGAAGTCACTATACAGCCCTGGCTGGCCTATTCTCCTTTCTTAGCCTCCAACTAAGAGTGCAGGCATACCCCACACATGCCGAGCTCCAAAGGGCGTTCTGACACAGCATAAAATTCTTCTTTTTCACTTTAATATAATCTTAATGCATTACTCTAACATCCTGAGGCTGGAAACCCTAACAATGAAAGTGCGTATCCATAAAAAGATATGCCTGTCAATATTTGTGGTACCATCACTCACAATAGCCTCAAATGAAAAAAAGCCTCAAATGTCTACCAATGGATGAAGGTAGTAGGCTGTCCATATAATGGGATTAACATTTCTCAGCAGTTAGGAAGTAGATGCTCTTGTGTCTTGATTGATTAATGGTTCTTTCTCAGAGACTGTCTCCACCCACCCTCCTCAACAACACCCCCTGTCCTACCTATCTTTTTTCCTGGACTACTTCTCTTTTTATCTCTCTTGTTAGTTTTCCATTGCTGTGACAATGTGAAAGGAGAGGCAGGAAAAGATTTATGTCAACTCACGGTTTCATAATTTTGGTCCAAGGTTAGCCAACTCCATTGCTCTGAGCCAGAGATGGGACAATAATATCAAGGCAGACAGAGCACATAATGCAGGAAGCATCTCATTTCATGTCAGCCAGGGATCAGGGGAACAGGGGGTACTAGAGCGGGCTACTGCCATCAAGACATGCCTCCAGTAACACTCTTCCTCCAACCAGCCCCACCCTCTGCAGTTCTACCATATCCCAAGGAGCTAGTCAAATGTTGGATCCAATAATGGATTAAACTACTGACAATGTCAGCCTCCTGCTGATGAATTATCTCTTGAAGACACCATCTCTCCCAGACACTCCCAGGAGTGTGCATTACTAACCTCCTAGGTGTCTCTGAATCCAATCAAGATTGAGATCATAGCTCTGATCATCATGTGACATATGACCAAGGCACTGAAGCATCCAGTGCTCTCTCTCTCTTTCTCAAAATGTTTGGTAAGAGACATGTGCTCCACACATACTACTTGACTGAAAGTGTGAATTTAATGAAATAGGACACCATAAAACCACGGCTGTCATAAAATCTACTCCATTCCATTGGGATTGGCTGTGATTAGGGCTTGCACCATGCTCAACAATACTCTAATTCATAGCTCCCCTTCCCAATCTGATTTATACCAGACCTCACATACTCTTCTACTGACATTCTTTGGTTTCTCAAATGGTCTACTGACCTTGAGTTTACCCATCTAAACCATGACCTCTGATGAATTCTCAGGGCAGTTAAGATTTCTGATGACATGGCTCCAACCTACCTGGTCAATCTTCACAGCAACCTCTATTGTAGCTCTCCCACAAGAAAAGTACTTAGTTTCAATAACATGTTCCCAGACCCTAAGCAATTAGTTGTTTGTAATTTTAAACATGGTGGACACTGTGAGGTGAGTGTTGACAAAAATCAAGCATACATTAGACCTGTCACAAGAAATCTCAGACATAATAGGGGGAAGGTTTGTGTGAGTAGAACCCTGTATATACAAATGAGCACAAAAGCCAGAAAAGAAGATATCTGCTATACAGAAGCATCCTATGTCTATCCTGGGAAGCCTAGAGTGGCTGGGTACTATGTTTGAGAGCTGGAATGAAGCTCACCTGAGGCTCTTCTAGCTCTGCCTTTGTCCATGACCTTGGCTTTCTTCCCATCAGCCCTTGCATTCACCTGTTTGTAGGTCACTAATGTTCAATAAGTAATCTCAGAAACATGACCATATCCATCTATGCAGAACCAAAGTTTGGTAAACCAAATATACCAGAAAAAGACAAATCACCAACCTAGGAGGTGAGCGCTCAGAAGAGGCAGTCCAGTGTCCCAGAAGGACAAGGATGAGGTGCGGGACCATGGAGATGTGGAAAGAATCCTCCTCGACTGCCTGAAATATTTTCTACCCTGTGAATTCTAGACCTGGTTACTTTTCTTTACCTTGATTTCCTGATTGCTGCAATGTTAATGACTGATTCATGACTGTGTATGGATGTTTGCCTGCAAATATATGCTTGTGTACCATCTGTGTCGCTAGTACCCACAGAGGTCAGAAGAGGTGTTGGATTCCCCCAGATCTTCTCTTTATATGAACATATGTTTTTTCATCCATTTTCTCTCACTGAACATTTAAACAAAGACAAAACCTGCCATTTTTAAATACCTGTATAAACCAGAAATTTCACTCACAAGCAACAAAAATCAAGTTCAGCCAGTTCAAAGCAAAAAAAAGGGGGGGTAGGAAAGAAAGGAAAGGAGGGGAAGATGGAGGCAGGTTTCCAGGTAAGCAGCTCACTAGAACCATAGCTTAGTTGGTAGAGTGCTTGCCTAGTGTAAGAAACTAAGCATTCAACCCCCAGAACCACATAAAAGTGTGCATGGTGGTATATTCCTGTAATTCCAGCACTCAGGAGGTAGAGCTAGGAGGATCAGAAGCTCAAGGTCATCCTTGGCTACATAGAGAGTTGTAGGCCAGCCCCAGTGACATGAGATCCTATCCTTAGAGGGGAAAGTGCATGAATGAGTAAAATAATGGGAAAAAAGCTTTCGTTTTCTCTGGCTATTGTAGAACCCAAGAATGATCTAGAAGCTGAAGCCATATGACCAGAACTCTTCTGTCCATTCCACTTCTCTTAGTTGTTTCTCTAAGCCTTCTCATTCTGAAGAAAGCCCTCTCCTGCCTGGTGGCAACAACAGGTTACTGTGCATATGACTGCTAAAACACCCTTTCAGAGGAATGCAGCATCCTTCTTCTTGATATTTCTCACTGAAGTCTCAGAGAAGGCATAGATTGGCCCATCCACGTTGCACAGTGACCTTTGAACCAATCCCTTTGACCAAGGAAATTCCTCATTCTGATTGGTCATGCAAGCTAAAGTCATGGTGCTGTCTTTGGAATTGGAGGCTAAAGTGATCTTTATATTGTTGTATCCATTGAGAATGAGTACAGTTGGGTTCACAGATTGGGTATAAGGCAAACACCAACACGTATCACTTTACCAAATCTTCACAAGTAACCTGAGTTGGGGTTATTATCCTCTAATGAAACTGGGGCTTGGAAAGCTCTCCCAAAGCCACTGAGTTAAGAAGTGGGGATATCTGACACTACACTGAAACTTAAGCATCACCAACTTGCATTGGGTTCTGTGCTGGGCAGGGAAATCACAGAGATGAAAATTGGAAGACCAAAAATCACACAAAGGAGAGAGTACATGTGCTGGTATGCCATTCCAATACAATGTAAAGTCATGTGCTGACACTCTGGAAATTTTCAGAAAAATATAGGAGGCATGGAGCTTAATAGTCAAGAACTTGAACTCTTGAATAATGAGTCCTTAGTTCTTGAACTACGGGTTTCATCTCTGCCTGCACAAAGAAGACAGAGATGGCATGGCTGCAGGAACAAAAACAGAGACAGGAGAATAAGGATACACAAAGGATCAATACTAGCTTAGGTTAAAATGCAGGTCTAAAAGGTGTCTATGAGAGAAACCAGACCACAACAATCAAAATGTTGTATGAAATTCTCAAGGAATTAAAAACATATTTTCAGTCAGCAACTTATCACCTGAGAGTGTGTTCTTCATTACGTTCCTTGTTTCCAAGCCTTGAGGCTCTGTACCCCAACCCAGAAAGAACTAGACTCTCTACAGCACAGGGAAAGATAGAGTTTCTCTGCCTCTGGCAGCTCTCCTAGCACACAAGGCTGATTTCTCGTGACAGCCAAGCAACTGCCAAGCCCAGAATGAAACTGGCTGTTTGGAAAGTTTAGCTCCCTTTCTTCACTCTATTTTCTCCCCTTGCTGCTGGCAGAAGCCCAGCCCTCCCTCCTTCTCTGGAGTCTCCCCACAACTCATCTAATTGGAAGGCTTCGGGAAGCCCCATGGGGACATCCTGCCCCTCCCCTGACTTTCTGAGCCTCTGTACAAGAAGTTTTGCAAAAAGAGGAAGCAGGAGCCTTGGGGCCTGCAGAGAAGGGGAGGCCTGTTGTGGTGAGTAAGGGCAAGGGAGGGCTGCAGACTGAAATGATGTTAGACAGGACTCACGTGGGACTAAATGCAAACTGTCATGACAACACTGCATCTGCTCCAGTCTTAGACACCGTCAACCTACTGACAAGATGCACACTCAGAAACACTTTCCAAGAGAAACCAAACCTGATGGCTTTGCTAGCCACATACTTCTATGGTATGATTCCAAATGTATGTACCACAAAGGCTGGCTTAGCAGTCAGGAAAACGACAAATGCAGAAATAAACTTTCAGTGAACACATTGCATAGAGATGCTCATTTTAATACACCTAATCACATTAATTCTGTATTTTGTTATGTTAAATACACCCATGCTTTAGTCTATGCAAATCTTTGAGATAAACCTATGAAGTAGTATCTATGCCCACTGTATAGATAAAGAAGCCAGGGCTGAAGAGAGTGAGGTCATCCATGTTGGTGGAAATGGCAAGCAACACAGTAAGAGTTCAGATTAAAGTCATCTGAAGCCCAAACTCATACATTCTCTTCTCAAAAGAGTACTATTGGGAAGCAATCTAGTAGCAACCATAAATTCACTTATTGCAAAAATATAGTTCTATTTCTTAATAAATAAATAAACCTGAACATTGCTACATATTCTGGTCACCATCATTTTTCCGTTTCAGAATGGGTCCCTTACACCTATTTGCTGATAATCTTCATTTCCATCTCCAGCCATAGACAGCCACTAACCTTTCTGTCTCTGCATAGTTGTCTCCTGCGGACAACTGAAAATATAATCATGCAGTCCACACATCTGGCTCCCTTCACTCAGCATACTGTTTTTGATGACCTCCCATGTTACATCAAGCATTAATATCCACAGCCTTTTTATTGCTGCATTATATTTCACTATATGGATATACCATATTTCATTTATCCACTAACTGCCTGATTGGCACTTAAATAGTTTCTCCTTTGGAGTTATTATGAATAATGTTTGTATGAATATTCATGGGTATGTCTTTATGTGAACATATGTTTTCATTTCTCTTGGGTAGATTCCTGGGAGGAAAAATTGCTGGTTTGAATAGTAAGTTTATATTTAACATTTTCAAAAACTGCCAAACTGTTTCCCAAAGCTGCTGCACCATCTCCAACCCACCCAAACACTGCTATTAAATGTTGCTGTGTCCCACCTCAAAGCCAAACTGGAACTCCACACCAGGTGAAGGCAGAACCTCTTAGCCTGATACTCTGACACAAATCGCTTTACATGAGTTAATTATGAGTTGATAACATCTATCCCTTTTAAACCAAATCAATGTCCTCCCCTTAACATGGCTAGCAGGCCTCTTTGTAGTAACCATTATACTCTACAGTGTACTTTCTTTTCCTATTCATTTGCCCAAACACAGTATAGTAAACTGAATGCTTTTCTTTTGCAAAATACATACTATTAACTTACATTTATAGTTAATTTTTTACCATATGGAATTTGAATCTCTTTATAGGATTAGGACAGCAATTATTGGGCATCTAGGTATATCCAAGAATATACAGAAACCAACTGAAACACAGATTGCTCTAAATGTAAACAAATAGAACTACGAGGAAAAGGGAGCAGATGACAAAAACACATGAGACTGAATTTGATGCAAAGTATCTAAAAGCCAATGTGATGATGATGAAGAGTTGTAGATACTATGACATACACTGGACACGGATTTTCAGAAACTCACTTGATATGTTTATTTCATTATTTCAATTTCTGAACTTGCTTCATTAGGGAGTGATGGTGGTGATCTCTTCACTCTGGAGATTTCAATTTTGTATTTTAAAATATGGTAACTTAAAGATGTCTCTTAGGTTTATGAGAATAAATCATCTTTTTCATTACTATGTTTATATAGATTGCTATGTTCATATGAATCATGTCATATGGGTTATTCATTTTCTGACTTTATTTATTCAATATAATTTATGTAATCTTTCTAATACAGGTATAATTTTAAGTGTTTTACTATCAGTGAGTCTTTCCATCTCTTGAGGTTTTCTTTTATGGAGATGATTGCTGTTTTGATGGTTCCATGATGTAAGTATACCAGGCTTTGTATGTATAAAAATAATGGAAGGAAGGAAAAGGAAAGAAAGAAAGAAACAAAGAAGCAAAGAAAGGAAGGAAGAAAGAATAAAGAAAGAAAGGAAGGAAGGAAGGAAGAAAGAAAGAAAGAAGGAAAGAAAGAGAGGCCAAGGTTTGAGAAAATGGCCCCACTTGTAAAGCACTTGCTGTCCAAGCATGAGGACCTGAGTTCTGGTCCCTAGAAATCATAATTTAAAAAGTAGCCATAGCAGTATATCTATAATCCAAGCACAGGGAAGTGAAAGCAAAGGATGAACCCCTGGGCTCACTGGCTATCTAATCTCATCAAACTGGTGAGCTCCAAGCTCAGTGAAAGAACCTGTCTCAAAATAATAAGATGGAGAGCAATCAAGGAACACATCTAAAATTCATCTGAGGTCTCCATATGTGTGTGCCATGCATGCTTGTGCGTGCATGTGCAGAGGCAGACAGACAGGCAGAAAAAGGGGAAATGAAAATCTGGAATTTGAATGAGCAATTTATCTTTTATTATTACTCTGAGTCCCAGCAGTGGCTGTGTTGGATGCCACACGACTGGGAATTAACAGAGGCAATACAACCCACAGAGGCTGAATTATCTCCAAACATAAAGGGGAATCAGTGAGGAATCCCAGTGGTGGAGAAACAGGGATGAGTCGCAGGGAGTCCAGAGAGAGGACAAAAGGAAGAAAATCAATTCTGACACCATGGCTAAAATGCTTCCAGAGTCCCAGCTGCGAGCTGAACTTTGCCATGTGACCAAGTTGCTCCAGAAAACTACATTTGGGCATCATGAGGGACAGAGGGAAAATCTGCCCTCTTCATTGTACCCCAGTATTTCACAGAAGCAGCAGCTTCTGCCACTCAAACCAGGACCAGCAGATAAGGACAGATTTGCCTGGTGGAAGCTAAGTCCTTCAGCCCCAAGAACTCAGTGCTGCTGGGAACTTATCAAGGGGGAGGGCCTGAGCCTGCTAGGAAGTCCTCCTCAGAGCTGCTCTGCTCCAAGCCCCGGGATTGAGCTGTGGAGCTTGATGTTTGGGGGATTGCAGCAACAGCAAGGGAGTCATAACTAGATTAGGACTGACTCAATGTTCTAAATCCTGGGAATGGATTTTCCTTGAGAAAAGACATAGCCCCAGAAGAGCTTTGCCTCAAACCTGGAGCTCCAACCTTAACAGATCCAAACCCAGAAGCCTGAAAGAGCAGGAGGACAGGGAGGGATACTGTGAGCAAAGAGAACCTGAGGCAGACCCCAGGTTCACTAAGGGAGTGGCCATTCCCAACACCCACAGGAATCCGGGCCTGGTGTGGCCAGCATCTCCTGGTGGCTCAAGACTAGAAATTAGAAAGAAGTCCTATTTCCTCCTCCTCTTAGTATATTCTTATTTATTTTTAACTGGAAAATGACAATGTACAGAGAACCTCCCAAGCATTGGAAAAGCTCTTATCAGAAGAGGTTAGATGATCAGTGCTGTGAGGGTGTGGAGAAGGGCTGTGGAAGGAGTGACAACTGATACAGACATTCCTCTAAAAAAATAAAAATAGAATTACTACATGATCCAATCTTCTTGTTCCTAAAATACATACCCAAAGGAGCCAAGTCAAAGCTTAGGCATTTTAAAAGTCAGAAACTCATTAAAACATTGTGTGTGTGTGAGAGAGAGAGAGTGAGAGACAGACAGACAGACAGACAGACAAACAGAGACAGACAGAGATAAACAGAGACAGAGACAGGGAGAGAGAGAGAGAGAGAGAGAGAGAGAGAGAGAGAGAGAGAGAGAGAGAGAGAGAGAATAGGGCACTGGGAGATGGTAGGCAGAAGGTAAAGTGCTTGCTTTGCAGACACAAGGACCTGTACTGTATTGAGTCTCAAAACCCACATACAATAAGCAAGGTGTGATAGCAAGTTCCTGTAATGCCAACACTAGGGAGGCAGAGACAGGCAGATCCCTGAGGTCCACTAGCCAGCCAGGGAACCTACTTAGTACACTCCAAGCCCATGAGAGAGGCCCTCCCTGTTTCTGAAAGCTAGGTGGATGATTTGAGAACAGCTGAAGACCTTGTTCTTTACATATGTGCAAGTACAATACATGAAAATATGTGTACACACAAAAAGTATATATATATACATATATGTATATGTGTATGTTATACAATATGTAGACATGCTTTATTTATAATATGACCCATGAAAAACCCAAGGGCTGCCCAGATTGGCCTGAGGGATTCATGCCTTTCTGTTGGTTTTCTCTTTGCTTAGATTAGCTTTTTTTATTCTAACCTTATTGAAGTACAACTGGTAAATAAAACTTATGCATTCTTAAGCAGTATAACTTGATGTTTCCATAAATATTCAGATCATGAAATGACAAACACACAAAAGATAATTCACATGTCCATCACATGACATAGTCACCCCTTCTTTGGGCTAAGACTTAATGTTTACTGTACATCATTTCTCTGTAGCACATCATACTACAGGTGTCGTGACCAATTACAGCACATCTAAGACTTGTTCTTCTCACATAACTGAAACTTTGTCCTTTTTCAGGCACATGCTCCTTTTCCAATAACCCCTGGTAACACAATGAGCCTGAAGGACATTACGCCAGATGAAAAAAGCCAAGAACGAAAAGACAAATGCCTCAACATCTGACATAGATGTGAGCTCTCAAGCAGTACCACTCATGAAGGCAGAGTGTAGATTTCCAGTGTTCAGGACTGCCCTGTCCCCTAGTGTGTGGCTTGGAGAAGGCACTGTGAGTCCTAGGCTGCTCAGTCTTTTGAACATCCATGAGCACACAATCAGACAACATAACTGTGATGCTATGGTTGGATATGAAGTGTCCCCTCTTCAAGTGATAAAGGTTTTAGTCTCCAGATAATGGCACTGCC